CGTCAGGGGGGTCGGCGATGCTCGGACTGCCGGAGTGCGCGTTGAGTCGCCCAGGTCGTGGTCGCTGGGATCGTCGAAGCTCTGGTCCTCGGCGTGTCGCGTGGGATGTGGCGTGGAAGTCCCGGCCAAGAACCCTTCGTGAGCCTGAGGGTTCTTCTGGGGCGTTCCGTCTCCCGCAACTGGCGTCGGAGCAACTCCCGATGGGGATGCGAGGTCGATGAGGGGGGCGAGTGGTTGCGGTGTCGTCCCTTGTGGTGGGGGTGGTGATGGGCGGTGCGCTGGTGCTTGTGTCTGCTGGTTGTAGTGCAGGTGGGTGGCCTGGTGGGGCTTTGCAGACACTGAGCGCGTACAGTTGTCGCCGATGCCGGAGGAGCGGTCCTCGATGTGCCCACTCCCACAGCGCCTGCACCTGGTGATCTCCGTCTTGGCGCTGGGGTAGTTGCCGCGCGACTTGCAGAGGCTGCGGTAGAGGGGCGGCGTTAAGCCATTCGAAGATCCAGAAGATGAGGGAGCGCCTCGATGCCCGGCAGCGCTCGGGGTCTCCATCTGGATTAGCTCGGCGCAGTACGATTCGCGGGTCACATCGTAGTCGAACTCGTGCGACGGAGCGATGGCGTGGAGGGCGGAGCGTATGTTGTCCCGCTGGTAGGCCTCCCCGTCGTCGGATTGGGCTTGCATCTTCTGCTCCTCGTTTTTCTTGGTGAGCGCGCTGGCGACGCCATCGAGCATGTCGGTAGCGATCCTGGGCGCGACGCTGTCGAGCTGCTCCCGCAGGGTCTTCTCGAGAAGTGCTTGGTGTACTCGATGCTCTTCCTGTTGTCGGGCCAGCTGTTCACGATGATGTTATTATTGTGATTGTCTTTGTGCTTGTGCTGCTTGTAGCTCGGAGTTGGCGAGCTGCTGCTGCTGGTGTATCTCTGCCTCGCATTGGCCGTACCTCTCCAGGAACTGCTCACGTTGATGCTGGTCGTAGTTAGTCCTGTGGTGCATCTGCTGCTGGAGAGCCTGGGCCTCGTTGAAGAAGAGCTGGTGCTGTTGGGTGGCGCGTAGGTGCTCCGCTTCTTTGGCTTCGAGCTGGTCGCGCTTGTTCTGGATGTGTCGCTGCGCTTCCAGTTGGAGCTCCGCTTGCTGGTAGATCACTTCTCGCTCCCTCTGGACAGTGTAATGTTCCTCCAGGAGCTTGTTGGCTGCAATGGCGGTCCGCTGCTGGATCACGTGCTCCCGTTTGATCTCCTCTCGCTTGAGGTCTGCTTGGGCTTCGGCGATCTGCTCGGCTATGTCGATCTTTATTTGCATCTCCTGGGCTGCCATGACTTGCATGGCTGCTCGAGACGGAGGTCCTGGTTCATCTGCTCGATCCTCTGGCCCTCACGCTGAAGACGCTCACACTCGCGATGAAGTTGTTCGCTCATCTCCTGCTGGCAGGCTGCGACCTCAGAGGTTGGTGCATTGCGCGCCTTGGAGGCGTTCTCCGCTCGCATGGCGCCCAGCATGTGGTAAGCCTCCTGGTGCTGCTGCTCATAGGTAAGCCGCTGACGTTCGAGGTCGTGTCTCAGCGCGCGCTCGTGGTTCTCGATCCTCTGCGCTTCCTGCTGCATCTTCTCCGCGTAGAACTTATGGAACATCTATTCTCGATGTTGGGATGCTCGTTCTTGCTGAGCTTCTTGTCTGCGGAGTGCATGTTCGGTAGCGTTCATGGCCGTCTTGGATAGCTCCTGCTCGCGACGCACGAGCTTGTCTCTGTTCTGCATCTTCAGTTCGGCAAAGCACTGCCGCATGGCCTCCACCTCCTCCTCATATTCTTCTGACTTCTTTCGGAGCTCGGCGTTGGAGATGCTGGCTAGGTTCTTTCCTTCTCGGCGTGCTTCCTCGTCTTTCTTCCTTAGCTGTTCTGCTACGGTGCTTGGTGGGGAGGCCGGCCTGCTCGAGCATGAGGATGGAGGCTCTCTGCTGGCGCGACGGCGAAATGGGGCGCTGGTCCTTTTGTTTCTTTGCTTCTTCAAATCGTCCTCGGAGTCGGCCTCGCAATCAGTGTCGGCTCCGGCTGCGATCTCCAGCTTGACGTCTATGACGAGGCGGCGCAGGTCGGAGATGCGCTGGGTGTTGGCCTCCGCCTTTGTCTGCAGGGCTTCTTTCTTCTCGTGGATAAATTTCTGCTCCTTGGCCGGCACCTCAATTTGAGACCGATATCGTTGCAGCCGTACTCGTGGACCTGCGGCCATGGCGAGCATGCATTTGATGACGGAGGCCGCTGTGAGCAGCTTGCTGGCATCGACCTTGGCGGACTGAGCTCCACTGATCTGATCTGCAACTCGGCCAAGCCGCTGCTGGAGGCTTCTCGTCCAAAGCTTCCTCATGTCTGGGTCATCTGGAGGGGGGCCGAAGGACTCGTGGTCGCGAGACATGGTGAAGGGAAGCTCCTTAACTGAGTCGGCGATGGCCTGCTGCTTCTTGCTGAGATGGTAGTCCTGGATGTGGACAGCTGCCTTTGACCTCGAGGCGGGGCGGCTCCATGACCGCCTGCTGGGATATGTGGAGCTTCTCCATGGCCAAGGCTGCTCTCCCACGGCGGGCCCAGGGTTTGTGGCCCCTGCTCCTGACCACCTTTCCCCTGGGCCCCGCGCGGGCGCATGGGATGTGGACCCTGCTCCTGTCCACCTTTTCCCTGCGCCGCGCTGCGGCGCCTCGAGGTGCGTGGTCCCTGCTCCTGACCACCTTTCCCTCGAGGCGCCGCGCTGCTGCTGCTTCTTCCAACTTTGCGCCATGTTGTCGGAGGGCTGGGCTGATTGATGATGTGCCAGTAGTCGGGAGGCCTCAACTACCTTCAGCAATGTCCTGGCGTGGCCCCGCGCAATGCGGGCCCTCCTGTGCCAAGTTTCTTCCTTTTGCCTGGGCGTCTTTCTTTAGCCTAGGCGTCGCGGCGGCGGCGCTTCTTTTTGACTTTGCTTCTTTTATGGCGCCGCGGCGCGCTGGCCCGGGCTGACGGGGCTGGCCGAACGAGGGGGCGACACGGACCCCCCCCGGCGGCGGCGGGCCCCTCCTCACCCCGTGGTTTCCTCCTCCTCCTCCTCCTCCTCCTTCTCCTCCTCCTCCATTCCTCTTCCTCATACATAATTCCTCCCTGTCGCACCCCGAGGCCGGTCGAAAGGGAGGGCTGGGCGTTTCGCTTGAGATATCCTCACCATCTGTGACCTTGAAGCTTAAGAGTTGGCAACAGCTCCACGGATAGGGGGCGGCTCGTTTTCAAAATGTGGTTCACGCAATAGCGTCGCGCAGATTCGCCTTATACATGTGCAAGGGTTTCACGGATTGAGGGCGGGTGGCTTTCAAAATGTGGTTCACGCCATAGCGTCGCGCACATTCGTCTTAAACCTGTGTAAGGGCTTCACGGATGGAGGGCGGGTGGTTTTCGTAATGTGATTCTCGCCTTAGCGCCGCGCACATTCTTTGTACAAATGTTGCAAGAGCTTCACGTATTGAGGGCGGTTCGTTTTCAAAATGCGGTTCTCGCCCTAGCACCGCGCACATTCCTTGTACAAACTTTGCCAGAGCTTCTCATATTGAGGGTGGCTCCTTTTCAAAATGTGGTTATCGCCTCAGCGCCGCGCACATTCCTTGTACAATATGGCAGGGGTTCCACGGAGTCCCATGGTCAACGTACCAGAAATTGTGTTTTGGATAGATTCAGGATAATGAAGGGCGCAACAGTTACTTTGATTCGCGGTGTTGAAGTCCCAGGGATGGCGTTCTGGCACGACTCAGGACCGCTCAGACGCAGCAGTCAGGTTGATGTGTGGCGTTTGAGTCCCAAGAATAATGTTTTGGCATGCTTCAGGGTCTTCAGACGGTTGTCTTCCAACGAGGCAGATCCCTCAGTAGATATGAAACTTGTATGGCCTGTGAAGAGGGAGCTTGGAGGGAGGGTGTATGCCAACATCGTTGATGACTCTTGGGTTTACACTGGTCCTCCTCCTCCTCCTACTCCTACTCCTTCTCCTCCTCTTCCTCCTTCTCTTCCTATGTACGCAGCTCCCCGCTTTCGATTGCGCATAACACGATGGGTCTTGTTTGGAGTTCCAGGTTGGCTAGGACACGCGTCCACCCATAGAGAGAAAAGATCGGCGCAGCAGGTCGGGACGGGATCCCCTCCTGCTTCCTCCCTCCACCCTCCCTCCCTTCCCCCCTCCTGCTTCCCCCCTCCCCCCCGCCTCCCTCCCCTTCCCCCCTCCTCCCTTCCCCCCTTCCCCCGTTCCCCCCTTCCCCCCTCCCTCCTTCCCTCCTTCCCCCCTTCCCTGCTTCCCCCCTTTCCTCCCTCCCCCCCTCCCCCCCTTCCCCCCTCCTGCTTCCCCCTCCTGCTCCCCCCCCCCCTCCCTCCCTTCCCCCCTCCTCCCCCCCGCCCGCCCCCTCCTCGTGCGCGCGCGGCGCTCCAGAGCAGCGCCGCCTTCGCGCGCGCGTGCCCGTGTCCCGCTGGCCGAGCGCCTCGGCACTCGAGTGGTGACGCCCAGCCCGGGTGTCGGCAACACGCAAGAGAGACCTCTCGCCAGAGTGGCCCTTCTGGTGTGGGCACACGGGGGTTATCAGATGGCCGAGTGCGATCCGATAGAGCGGCGGAGTTGTGTGTGCGCTCTCGGGCTCGCCCCCCCCCCTCCCCCATCCCCCCCCCCGCGCCCCCTGAAGCTGCGCACCAGAGGTCACTCCTCTTGCCTAGGGTCCCTCTCTTCGTGTGGCCGACGTGTGGCGCAGGGAGCGCGCGGGCAGGGCACGGCGTGGCGTGCACGGCCCGGGGCGCTCGAGCGGCCGATGACGCCGGCCCCGGGAGGCCTCGGGCGATGGGCGATGTTCAGAGGGGGGCGAGTGAAGACAGCTGTGGTTGGCCTTCGGGGGGGGGGGGCGGCCCCAGTCGCAACGGCTGGGCGCAGCTCGGAGAAGCGCTGCGTTTGGGCCCCGGGAGGGGTGCGGTGGCCGATTTGGAGCTGCCGATGTCTCAACGCTGCTCCGAGGTGCTGGCCGCGGTGGCGCAGGAAGGGTGCGGGCAGAGGGTGCGGGCAGGGAGCGAAGGCGAGCAGCCTCCGGCCCCGCGTCCCGCGTGCTCTTCCACGGAAGAAGGGGGAGGGCGGTCCGCGCGAGGGGGCCTGGGTGGGTGCTCGTGGCGTCAGGGGGAGAGGGCGGGATGGGGCGGAGAGACGTGGGGCGGGATGCGGACGTGAGGGTCGAAGGGAGCAAGGGGAGGCAAAGAGAGAGAGGAAGAGAGGGAGGGTTGATGGGCGGAGAGGAGGGCGAGGGCGGACCAGGGGGAAGAGCAAGCAGGGGGAAGGGCAGGCAAGGAGGTGGTAGGGGCGACGTGCCCGAGCGAAGGAGTTCGCAGGTCCTGACGGCTCTTGTCCTTTAGAATGGTTGATCGAATTTTTCTCGGCGTCGCGCATGAGGTTCAGGGACAGTGTTGCGCGAGCACAAGCTGAATCGCGACGAATACGAGAGAATCGCACAAACTGAAGCGCACATGTGAGATGTATGTCCTTGATCAGATGACTTAGTGGCGCGTCTGCCTGTGAGCGGCTGTATCTGCTAGCTGGGGCGCCGCGGGGCTGAGGGGAGAAACGGGATATTGGCATCCCCACTCGCCATCGATCAGCACCGCTGACCATCGATTTCCCCCACTCACTGCGGCAACGCTACCGTTGCGGCCCTACTGCAGTCCACAGCGAGGAGATGGGGAATGAACACAATACCGAGGATGGGGGTGGAGATGATATGGGGGCGGAGGAGGAGCAAGGAGGAAGAGGAGGAGGAGGATTACTAGTGCAAACCCAAGATGCTAGAATAAGCTCTCCCTCCAAGCTCCCTCTTCACAGGCCCGATACAAGGGTTCATTTCCACTGAGGGAACTGCCTCGTTGGAAGACAACCGTCTGAAGCCCCTGAAGCATGCCAAACTTTATTCTGGGGATCCCAACGCCACGGATTGACCTGACTGTTGCGTCTTGCCAATCCTGAATCGTGCCAGAACGCCATTCCTGGGGCTGCAACACCGCGAATCAACGTAACTACTGCACCCCCATAATCCTGAATCCGCCCAAAACACCACTTCTGGTACGTTGACCATGGGAATCCGTGAAGCTCTTGCAAATTTCAACGAGCGAATGTGCGCGGCGCTGAGGCGAGAGCCACATGTTGAAAACCACCCGCCCTCCATCTGTGAAGTTGTTGAAACTGTTTAATTTGAATGTGCGCGGCGCTGAGGCGAGAGCCACATATTGAAAACCACCCGCCTTCCACCTGTGAAGTTCTTGCAACTGTTTAAAGTGAATGTGCGCGGCGCTAAGGCGAGAGACACATTTTAAAAAGGACCGCCCTCAATCCGTGAAGCTCTTGCAGCGTCTATTGCTTAAATAAACAAAAAACGAATGCGCGCAGCGCTCAGGCGAGACGCACATTTTGAAAACCACCCGCCCTCAACGCGTGAAGCTCTTGCAGTTTGTTTATGTGCGCGGCGCTAAGACGAGAGCCACATTTTGAAAACGACCCGCCCTCAATCCGTGAACCTCTTGCAATTGTTTAAAGTGAACGCGCGCGGCGCTGAGGCGAGAGCCACATTTTGAAAACGACCCGCCTTTCAGTTGTGAAACTCGTGCACTTTTAAAAAAGCGAATGTGCGCAGCGCTAAAGCGAGAGCCACATGTTGAAAACCACCCGCCCTCTATCTGTGAAGCTGTTGTCAATGTGTAAGCTTCAGGGTCATACATGGTGAGGACGTCTCAGGCGAAACGCCTGGCCCGTCCTGAAAACTGGCCTCGGGGTGCGACAGGGAGAAATGCTTTCTAAGGAAGAAGAACGGGGGAAAAAGGAAAAGGAGGAGGAGGAGGAGGCGGATGCCGGGGGGAGGAGCGGGAGGAGCAAAAGGAGGGGTGGAATATGAGGAACGGGAGGGAGGGGAAATGAGGGGAGGGGGAGAAGAAACATGAGGAAGTGGAGGGGAAAGCCGCGGAAAGGAGGGTGAGGATGAAGAGGCGAGGGGGAGAAGTAGAGAGAGAGGAGGACAAGGGAGGTGCATGGCGCCCCAACAAGCAATGTACGCTTGTGAGATGAGCGAACTGCGGGCGCCTATCGAAGACGCCTACGGCGAATCACCGCCGCCCCCTGCCTTCTTGGAAGTGTCTACGTGGCCGAACGTTGAGGCCAGACCTGCCAAGCTATCGGACCATGTGTTCCCCGAATCGGTTTGGAAAGCCTTCGGGGAACACGTGGGCATCTTGAAGGTCATCTTGGCCGTCTGGAGACCATTTTGATCCTTTCGGTCCTTCTTGGAGAACGTCTTGGAGGGCTTGTGGGCCGTCTTGGAGGCCATCTTGAGCGTCTTGGAGACATCTTGGGCCGTCTTGGGGGCCTCTTGGGGCCGTGTCTTGGGCCTCTTTGGCCATCTTTGAGGGCACTTGGGCCGTCTCGGGCCGTCGGAAGGCAGAAAAAAAAAGCAAATAACACAATCCTTCAGAAAATCAGGGGAAATCAATGATGTTGGCCTTTTCGGGACTTCCTGGAGGCCCTCTTGGAGGCCTCTTCGGCCGTCTCGGGCCATCTTAGGACCATCTTCGGCCGTCTTGGTGGGCTCCTGGTCCGTCTGACGCCGTCGGAAGCCGTTTGGGGGGTCTCTATGGGCCGACTTGGGGCCCTCTTGGAATGCTCCAGGGCCGTCTTGGAGGCCCATCTGGGGCGTCTTAAAGGCCTCATGTGCCGTCGTGGGGGCCTCTTGGGGCCGTTTTGGGGCCCTCTTGGGCCGTTCTGGGCCTATTTTGGAGGCCTTTTGGGCGATCATTCGGCGATCTTCGGGGGCTTTTGGGCCGTCTCGCGCCGTCGGAAGGCCGAAAAGAAACAAATGTCAAGATCCGTCAACAACCTTAGGAAAACCAAGGTTTTGGGCCTCTTCTGGCCTTCCTGGAGGCCCTCTTGGAGGCCTCTTGGGCCGTCTAGGGCCAGCTTCGAACCAACGTCGGCCATCTTGGTGGGTTCCTGGCACGACTGACGCCGTCGGGAGCCGTCTTGGGGGCCTTTCTGGGCCGACTTGGGGCCCTCTTGGGGCGTTTCGGGGCCGTCTTGGAGGTCATCTAGTAAATATGCTCCTCTCCGCCTCAGATTCAATTAGAACATAACTTAGTTTGCATGCATTGCGCTGTCCGCGTGAACTGAAGCTGCGTTTCCGCAGCCATACGACTGCTCGAGCCAGCCGACCTCGGCTGGCAGGAGAGAAAAGGAGCGCGCTGGGGTGCGTGGGCGGCTCGTCGTCGTCCGTCCTCGGCCGGCCGTCTCCCTTCATATTGAGTAGTCTTGCTTAACGGATAGTTGTTTTATCAATGTCTCATCCCGCCTCCGCTCTCCCTGAGCAGAGTGAACATGAGATCTGAATCCCTTTGTCATCTTACCCCGATTCTCAGAGGAAAGACTGGTTATCAGCCGAAGCGCGCGACTCAGTCGACGCGGGGCCATTAGATACAAAATAAAATCTTTCAGTCGTGCCCCGCGATTCAGTCGCTGCGGGAGAGAGCTATGATAAGACTAATATCGTGTCCAATATCTCGAGAAGCGCTGATGGGCGTGTTGAACAACATGATGGACACGATACAGACAGAGACGGTCCTGTTCGAGACCGAATCCCTCCTCATATGTCGCCGATCGGGTCGTGAGGGGGAGAAGTACCGAGGGGATAACCGAAATATCGGTAGACGTATCCCCCACAGGGGCTCCGATAGGTGATCGTGAGCAAACCCCCGACCCTCACGGGCGAGATGGTGCCGCGCCGAGACCCAGGCGAGGTGCATTCTCGTCATGGAGTGCCAAATCGACGGAGTCAATAAGCTCCATCCAGCATACTCCACAAGCTACTGCCATTGCCGCTGGCGAAGACAGCCGGCCAGGGGAGGCCCAAGGGAATCTGAATACGTATCCTAATATCCCCGTAGAATGGGTGGGTACGCATGTTACCGCCCCAACCCCTATAGCACTTTAAGGACAATTCGGTCAGGATATTGATGATCCAATAGACAAAAATCATGAAACATATTCCATGGAGGAAGATTTTGATAGTATCAATAATGATATTTTCCTGAGCCGAGCATTGTCCGTGATGATAGAAGAAGACATCCCTGCTCAAGCCGAAAGGTGGTCTCCAGATGGACCCGGTGAAGACACTAGTATTCTGACGCCTCAGGCGGACAGGACGGAGACTCAGATGAAGCATGAGAGGGAGTCCACTGGACGAGCTCCTGCGCCTAGCCTCAAGAAACAACGGAATGAGGACTACGAACTAAACGTCTCGCCATTCAAGGAAGGTTTCTTCCGTAATGCCACCACCTCAGGCGAGTGGCAACTCATTATTCCAGCTGTTGTTGAGGATGAAGAAATGGTCGGACAACCAGATATATATATGCTCAGCTAATAACACAAGACGAAAAAGGATGAGGAGTTCTCAAATGCGCCCAAACAACCAGAAAGTACCTTTACTCGCCCCAGGTCGAATGCTTCGAGCAGGGGAAGACCCAAACTACCAAGATCAGGGGCGAGTTCTACTTCAAGGAGCAACAGTACAGTTTCTATGATGGAGGCATGTTGGAATCCCAATCCTGGCTGCGCGCCTCAGGCGGAGAACAGATGCCCGGGAAAAGCCAGCAAGCCTGAAGGCGCGTGCAGGAACCCAGTGTGCAGGAGTTGCTCGGACGTATGCAACAAGTGCAACATACAATGGCTGCGCACAGAGTGTTGCCCCATGGACGAGCATAACTGCACGCACCTCCTTATGCGATCTATCCAAGACCAGGCCAGGCTAGCAGAGGCTAACACTCAGAGAGAGTTTCTGATTAATGAAGCACATCTGGCTGAAAAGGCTCGATTGGACAGAGAAGAATTAATTGAAACTGCGATCGAAGCTAGAAAGACGTTGAGGCTGAGCGGATCGCCCTAGCCATGGCTGCTAGAGAGCGTGAACAGGCGCTGATAGAACATCTGCACAATCAGACTGAGGCCGTGAAATGGCAAGTGGAGAGGGAAGCTGAAAATAAATACAGAGAACTA